ATGAGCAATAAATACTTTGCTACATACATTATTGACATGTTGTGTGTTTAGTGCTTTAAACTTTAAAGTGGCATTTGCGTGCATCCACTCACGTGCTTGCAAGTTGTAAGGGTGTCTCTGTGGAAGCGAATTCATAAGTTGTGCAGTCCCTAGTGTTATGAAGTGCTCGAGACATAGCCTTCACCTTTCAAGGAACAACTATGGCATCCTACGTAGTGGACTTCCCGCTGTATTCGAATGGTACGGTGATTCTAACTGAATTTCAAATTCAGATGAGACAAAATGGATATGTCTTCATCTTTGATGAAGATGCTATATTTGGAAATCAGCCAAATAAAATTGTGGGGGAAATGACAATCCTGCTAAACTAAAATTCAACTTGGTTGAAGCAGTTGATATGATGATGTTTATTGCGGTCATTTCCCAAGCCAATATTGTGGCTAATGTGAAAGAATGGGTGGTAAACTCTAGTGTTACCAGGTATATATGTTGAGAACTTAATGCCTTATCCTCCTACACTTTAGTAGAGGAAGGAGAAGAAAATATTTATCTTGGTGATTCGAGAACTGCTCAAGTTCTTAGGAAAGAGAAAATTTTTCTCAAACTCACATTTACAAATGAGGGTGAGTAGTTGAGAAACTTCTTACAAATGTTCCTTTGGGAATGAAACGGTACATTCGATTTCTAGACATTTGTGATTACCTAGAGACAATAACCATTGCAAAGAATGAAACTTTCAATGGTAAAAAGAGACACGTCCAGTTGACACGTGATGAAGCAATTGCTTAAAGATGGAATTATGTCCATCAATTATGTCATGTCAAAAGTGATTATGGCCGATCCTTTGACTATACATCGAGGGGACTGGGACAAGCTAGTTGAAGAAAATCAATAGTGATGGTCACTCAACCTATGTGATTGGCGATCCCATGAATTAGGTTCATATGAGTAATAACAAGTCACTTGTTGATATATGATACACTATTAAAACTTTATGTCCCTCCTAAGGTGAGAATAGTGCAAGACTACAAGGAAAAAGAGGCTGAGCTAAGCTCTTAATGAAATTCCATAGCCATTATTGGTGGTGTATAAAACTGCATAATACACTTGATGGAATCACCTATATAAGTGTAAAGTGGGGCCGCTCCTATGAGAATTATTGGCGATAATCTCTAAAGCACTTATGAATAAACCAAGCACGCGCGTGGCCTATTAGCGCAAAACCACATTGAACAACAAACCTTGTGAGGGTGTAATGTGATTGGTGATAATTATGATTTGCAAAAGAAATTCTCGGTTCATAGAAGTTTCAAACTTTACCAATGATTTCGTGAATTATATTTCATTCTTTCTAGGATTGGTTCATAGCCTAACAAGCACCAGTTTTAATGCATTACGCTCCAACAACCCAGTATTATTTTATGTTTTCATTTCAAAACCTTTTGAAATATATGGGGGATTGTTGGATATTTCAGCAGTTTTGAAATATTTTATGATTGCCATAAAGTCATCATTTTGTAACGGTTTTGCAACAACCATATAACGGCTTTGTAACATTTGATTTAATTCTTCATGAAGCCTCAATTATTTTAGAACGGTCATTTTTAATAATTACCAATTGCTTTATAACAGTTTCTTAATGGCTTTTTCCTCTTTCTTAACGATTCTCTTTCTTGTACCTATAAATTATTACTTTGAGCATAATTGAAAAGTGATATATATACATATCAAATAAAGAATATTCTTTGTTCTTTCTTTTATATATCTTTCCTTTCTTTGCTGGGTTATGCACATAACGTTATTCCTGTTTCCTTCTAATATTCAGTGCGGAGTATAAAAGAAGGTCTGTTGTATCTTGGGATGATAGTCGCTAGAGCCTTACGCACCGAGTTTCATACTCCGAAAGGCAGAATTATCTTTAAGGACAGTGACTAGCACGCCTCAGACATTGATATTATTTTCTCATCTTTTTCAATAGAATTCTTAGGAATTTCTTATTTTTTCATGTTATCTAACAATTTTCCAACATTTTGTTCTGTGCTTCTAGAGCGTGCCTCAAAGAGAAAGAAGAGTGTGCTGGCCAGCAACGCAGAAGTAAGAACGTGCAGGAGGAAAAGGTTGTATTGGCGGCCTCCTTTGTGAAATGACAGGTCAAGTCAACCCCACAAAAGCCAAACCAGACAACACGAAATGCTCTCTCTCCCGACTATTCAATCAATCACGCACTCTGAGCTTCTAGAGTATGAACAAAAAATAAGTACAGATAAAGCATAATCCCCATTGTAACCCCACCAGTCCACCAAGGAAAAGCAATCTCTTAGTGGGGCACCAAAGCGACGATTACCATCTGTAACAACACGGAAGGATATCTGTTTCACACACTATCTCTTGATACTGAGAAAGCAACCTCCTCCACTCGCTGTTTCCCGGAAAGCTTCCAGTCATGTGTACATTGGTTGCTTTTTCTCAACCCTCGTCAGATTAAGTTATTCTCCCACGGGATACGTTTGAGGAGATTAAAGAAGTTGATTCTTTCTGGTTGCCAATCCGGTCGTGGTCTTCTTAAGTTGAGGGCAGGATGTGAAGGAGGACCACCCTCTGATTGCTGCACGATGGTTCCATACATTATTAAAATCGCAGGCCACGTCTTTGCAGGGTCAATGTCTAAATGATGAAGCGCGTTATTGCCTAATGGATTGGACTGAGGTTTACTGGTTTAGTATTCAAACGTAATCGACGGGTAATACCATCTTTTTGACCGACTGGAAGTGGGGCTTGCCATTTAAGTGTCATGGGGAACCATTTTTGTCTAGTGGACTTTAATCAACTCATTCTCATCGCCACCTTCGTCAAGTCATTCACATTGTGAAGTCCGTTTGCTTCAGTTACATTCAAAGCCAAAAGAAAAAAAACCTTTTTCCTTTTCAGGAAAATTTAGAAAATTATTTAAATTTCAAAAACTATAAAAGGAACACATGTTAATATACGTGTCGACCATTGTATTTTATGAAAACTTCAAACATGTCAGATTTGAAAATGATAAAACGGGTAAGCAGAATGATTTTGACTTAGTAAAAGTAAAAATGTAAAACTCAATCGAGACAGGCTCAATTTGTAGACCATAATTGAAAACTCTATCTTTATTATACTTGTTGGTATGTATGTATGTATAATTTGAGGGAAAATTACTAAAAAAGTCTTAAACCTATTGCAATTGTGTCAATTTAGTCCTAAACCTTTTTTACCAATTGAATCATAAACCTTTTGCATTTGTACCAATTCAGTCCATCCAGCCAATTTTGGCAGGAAACCACAAACATGGATGTCGACCGTCCCACATGGCATGACCGGAGCTAACATGGACAATTTTTAGTAATATTTAATATTTTTCAAATTTTTTTTATAAATATTTTCTTTCTTTCGTTTCTTTCTTTTCTTTTCTTTTCTTTTTTTTTCCCTAAACTTAGGGCTAGCAAGGGTCACCGGCTAACCCTCATCGGCCACAGGTGAGGGCCATGACACCCTCACCTAAGGCTGGCGAGGGCCACCGCACCCTCGCCTAGTGCCAGTGAGCGCGTGCCGGCCCTCACTGAACCTTGGTGTATCCAAAAAAAAAAACTAAAGAAAAGAAAAGAAAAAGAAAAAAATTATAAAATAAATTTAAAATATTATTTTAAAAAGTCAAGTCAAGGCCGGCTGTGCCATGTAGGACGCTTGACGTTCACGTCACCAATTTCTGATCAAAATTGGCCAAATAGACTGAATTGGCATATATGCAAAAGGTTTATAACTCAATCGACAAAAAAAAGTTTTAACACTAAATTGATACAATTACAATAAATTTAGAATTTTTTTTGGTAATTTTCCCTGTGTGTTTGATGTCAAATCAAGTCTAGAAGATCCACATGCTAGATTCTAAAATGGAAGTGCTGAGGAGATCATCAAGTGCTTTATTAGATGATTATTGCTCTCGTACAAGAAACGGGCTTCTCATTCATTTCAAAGAATTAAAGAAGTCCACTACATAAAGGAAACCATGCAATTCAAAAGGAAGTTCTGACTAGAAGAGTTGGTAATGCGATCTTTTAATGATGTGATGATGGGGTGATTACATAGTCCCAAAGAAAAGCACTGAAGACTCTAGTGGCGACAGATCGAGAGCACCTTCTTGGGTCTGTGATCAAATTGAGCCTTACTGTTATTATTTTCAGGTGTAAACCTGCAAAATATCATAAGCCTACCAAATAAACAAACAAAAGACAAGTATTGTATATAAGCCAAGGAAAAAAATAAAAACCTGAAGATGTGCTGTGAGAGCAAACTCTGGAATAAGTGGTGAGGGTATACATATCAACCAAATGATAAATTGAGATGAGAGAATGAGTTAGGATTATTTAGGGAAATCTATCTATTTGCTGCATGCAATTCTGCAAGAAATTGTAATATGGTCCGAAGTTGAGATATAGTATGAAGTTGTACAGCATCTCAAAATTAAGATATAGTCCAAAGTGGCACTTCATCTCTATTTTGAGACTCGGGTTTGATTTGATGCCACTTGTGAATGGATTTCTTGTGATCTCATTGTGCCACAAATCGCTCTATATATCCCTGGACTTTGCCAACTACGTAAATTGCCCCGTCAAGTGCTTCTTGACTAGACTCCGTCCTTCAGCATCTTATTTATGGATACCCTCATTATCTACGGTAGACACATCATTTCACGCGCAATAATTACCGTGTAGAAGGCGCACGTAGAAAAGGAAGGAACTTATTTGACTAGTTGATAATCCTTTTAATACCAAGAAAATGAGCAAAATGAAGCATTAATGAAACTATCCAATGAATGGCGAGAGGATATGACGATGGAGGAGGAGAATTTTGGAACGGGTGGAGCATATGTGAAGACTGATGGAATACCAACGAAAATCTATGCACTTTGGACATATCTTTGCGCATTATGTCCCCGCACTCCCACCTCTATATAAACCCTCCCTCCCTCCCTCCCATTCCACACATCCAAACCATCCTCCTCAATCTCATTTCTCATCAAACCCTCCATCGTGATTATGATGACCTCCTTATATGGCAGCCTTGTTCCTTTCCTCCTCCTCACAGCACTGATGATGGCGGCTGTGAGCGATAGCCGGAGGAGCTTTCGAGAAATTGTGTCGAAGTCGGGTGGTGATTATGGTGCTAGTAAGGGCACTCAATGGGCTGTTTTAGTCGCCGGATCCAACGGTTATTATAACTACAGGCACCAGGTGATCCACCACCCGAACTATGCATTAGCTACAGTATATCATCATATTCTCATCGTACATATATATAATATATTATGGACAACTTGCTGGCAGTACGTACTTTTATACCACATGAGTAGCACGATATATATTATGAAATGGATTTACCTGTGTGATGCGTGTCTATGCAGGCTGATGTGTGCCATGCCTACCAAATCCTTAAGGCAAATGGATTGAAAGATGAGAACATCATCGTGTTCATGTATGACGACATCGCCCGAAACGAGGAAAATCCCACAAAGGGTATCATCATCAACAAACCCAATGGCCCCGATGTCTACCATGGAGTTCCCAAGGTCTTTGTTCAACACATTCATCTAGCCACTACATACATCCACTGTATAGGAGGATGCATATTCGCGTGATTAATTTTCGATCCTAATTAACCAATTGGGTAATATTGCAGGATTACACCGGTCATGCAACTACCGCAACCAACTTGTATGCAGTCCTTCTTGGGAACAAGACAGCTCTCAGCGGGGGCAGTGGCAAGGTTTTGAACAGTGGTCCGAACGACCACGTCTTCTTCTATTATGCCGACCATGGGAGCACGGGACTAGTGAGCATGCCTGTGGGGGACAACATATACGCGAACGACCTGATGAATGTGCTGAAGCAAATGCATGAGGCGAAGAGGTACATGAACATGGTGATATACATAGAGGCCTGTGAGTCGGGGAGCATGCTGCAAGGGCTGCTACCCAAGAACATAGGGATCTATGCAACCACAGCGTCCAACGCCGAGGAGAGCAGTTATGGTTACTACTGCCCTGGAGAGACTTCTGACGGGAATTCCTTCAACTATGACACTTGTTTGGGGGATCTCTACAGCATCGCTTGGATGGAGGACAGGTATTATTGTGTCACTTCTCTATTTTTGAAAGCAACTGTACGTGAACATTCGATTATAAAGTGAAAAAGCAAGAAACGACTCTCACTTTCTAAAAAACTAAAAAGGAAAATCTAGCTAGATGAGAAAATAACAAGATAGCATATGTGTGTCTCTCCCTACATGTGGAGCACGCGTGGCATTCATCCTTAACAACATTACTTTGTCAAATGTACATGGACTCATTCTCTGTTCTCTCTGTCTCCATTAATCTGAATTTGGGTGTGTGAGAACAGTGATGCCCACGATTTGGGGAAGGAAACATTGCAGGAGCAATACTTAGCAGTGAAGAAGAGGACCAATCTGTCCCACGTGATGCAATATGGGAACACAGTTCTCAGTAAGGCGTTCCTCTCCACTTATATGGGCCAAAGCTCCAAGAAAGTCTCTTCCGTCCCCTTGGACGAGCTTTCTTCGTCAACTTCCCGAGCAATTCCCCAGCGAGATGCGGATTTGGTCTTTTTCCAACGCCGGGTTCGTCTCCATCACCATTGATTTTATTGCATATTGATTTATCTTTTTTGACTAGTAATTAAACAAAGGAATATAGTACTTATTAAGTAGTGTTTCTTGCTATGTTTGTCTTGCCTCTTGTTTTTGGGACTCTTGTCGATTGACTACTTGGGTGGTTGTAGGTGCAAAAAGCTCCGAAAGGGTCTGCTAAGAGTGTGGAAGCACAGAAGAGACTGGACGAACAAATTGCTCACCGATCTCATGTTGACCGCAGCATCAATCAAATTGTCAACCACTTGATCGGTGGCTCCAATGCTGCAAGCATGTTGACTGCTGTTCGACCTGGAGACCAACCTGTTGTTGATGACTGGGACTGCCTCAAAACATTTGTGAGTCTCCATGATCTCCTCATCAATTACTTACCCGATCCATATATGATACATGTATATGTGCAGCTAATTTATCTCGCGAATGGTTTCTAATGTCGAATTTGTTTGTGTGACGTATAGGTGAGGACTTACGAGCAATATTGTGGACGCCTAAGCGAGTACGGAATGCAATACACAAGAGCCATGGCGAACATGTGCAACGCTGGAGTAGACAAGGACCGTATGGTAGCAGCTTCTATTCAAGCTTGTTCTGGGAAAGGAGAGTGAAAACGATGATCAGTGTCCCAATAATGCTTTTGTAAACAGTTTCTGAATTACATATGGGGTATATGTGCTGCTTCTAGGAAATTGGAAGAAATTTACATTGGCGAGCTCTCTGTGTATCTTGTGAATCAGTCGGCTCATCAAAATGCTCAAAGTTTGTTCGAAAGTGTGGCAGAATCTTTTCATATGGTTAATGATATGGTCAGTTTCTGTTTTTTGGCAATTTTCACGAATCGTCTTTACAACATTGGGATATGCACCATAACCTTTTCAACCCATTAACCTAAAGGAGACGACTGGATGATGACCACTTTCAAGGGTAGGTTCCAATGAATGGAAGGATTGACGCCAAACAAGTGAAGCACCTGTGCAGAGTAGAGTGACAACTAGTTTCTTTATGAACCTAATTCATCGTCCGGAGACAAAACAACTGACAGAAAACAAGTAGCATGTAGACAAGCGGGTACTTAATCTGAGGCACCATTCCTCAATTCCATCAAACTGAGCTCATGAGGAATGTCACTGATCTTCCAAGGATGCATTTATATGTATACTCACTAGCAGATTTTTTTTTTTTTAAATCAACTGGTCGGTCACTTGATATACTTTCTTAGGAGCTGAAATAACTTTTTTTAACTAAAATAATTTGATGAAATGGTTTTGCCGAAGAAGGGGATTTGCCAGTGGGCTTGAACTGGTGCTTACGGCCCAACTATTGGTTCAAAGGCGAGCCATGTGGTGCGTTTCAACTCAATTAAAATCAAGGCTGCCGTTAGCATTCCGTTGATTTGCTCTGATCAGTTCATCATGCATGGGCTACCCAGCCCAATACTCGGAACACATGCATGTATACCTACCTACGTGTGCATATACTTTCCTTCTAAAAGTAGGTTAGAGGTTTTTTTTTTTTTAGCATAGTATGATGTGAAATGAGCAGTTGCGTTATACAGGGCATTGTCAACTAATGCTGAAATGTATTTTGTACTCCTCAAAGGGTCATTTAAGTTGATTGGGCATAAAATATTGGCTCTCCTCCTAATAGTAAAATGCAATTATCCATGTGTTATGAGACAGATATGGTGGATCCTTGCACAAGCAGGATCCATTTTTGGTTGCTTGGTTGGTTGCTGATAGGCTAAAAGGCAAGTGTTTTTTCGGCTTTGCCCATCTTAGCCAACTCCTCATTCATTTGAAGGAAGGTTTTGAAGCTTAGAAATGATGTCGCGCCTTTAATTAATCATGTCATAGGAGATGGAAGATGTACCTTTTTGTGGTATGATGATTGATATCCATGAGCAGCTGATGTCATCCGATATGCGCGCTGGTTTTGGCCTCCTGCTAGTTTGATCTGAGGCTTGGGTGCAGATTAAAGCTGGCATTTGTGATTCCTTGCGGCCAAACTCTTGTATTTCTGATAGGGTCATGAGGAGTTGACTGCTTCTGGATGTTTTACAGTGGGGAGTTTGTTTTTAAGAGTTACAGGTTCAAGAGCGCCTTGGCGTTCACTTCATTTAGTGGAATACGCTTGTTTCTTCGGCTTACTGTATGCGCAACTACAGCTCCTCTAGAGCATAGAAATCACTTGCCTTTCGGTGTCTAAAGTTTGGACTATGATACTGCAGCTTCACCAGTTATGGAGAGGGATTTGTTGCTGGACTTGTTTGAAGTTGATTGGGATGTAGCTATCTTTAATGGGCAAGCTCTCCCTTGTTTATAGTTCAAAAATCTGTTTCAATTCTTTCAATGGCCCTAACCGATCCCTATTTCCTTTGTAACTATTCTAACTCATCTCTGGTCAACTTTCAAGTGAATGCACGTTCAAAGTATGCCTAATTATCTCGGAGTACAAAATGTCATCAACGCACGTTCGAAACTATCTGAAGTTTTTAGTCAAAACAACGGTATCATTTGCAAAGTAATCCGGCGATCTTTCATACTTCTTCTATAATTATCATTGTTGCGGAAGCAAGTGATCGAATAATAAATTTGATAAAATAAGAAAATAGATTGAACACCATATTTACGTGAATCGGTCGTGGTGACCTACGTCCACGGGGAGAGCAGCAACGGATTCCACTATAAATCAAGTAATAGAACGGAGATAACCACACTTGAGTTACTCAAACACTTTCAGGCTGTGTTTGGTAGCCCGGATTTGAGTTTGGATACAATAATTTGTTATCATATCTGGTGTTTGATGACATTCTCCAGACCGGATAAACCCAGATACATTCGAATAACATGCCAGATAAGAAATCCGGCCTAGGGGGTGGGATAAACTTGGTTATAAAATTTAAAAAATAACTCAAAAATTCATATTTTATCTTTGAAGAGTGTGATAAAGTGATGCTTCGGATATTGCTTTGCCGGCACCGCTCACCCGAGGACCACCACCAAAATTACCGATCATCGTCACTTCCAACCACCACACACGGTCGCTGTCGCCTCTGACCACGCCGGTCATCACCATCAGCCAGGAATCATGTTCCGACAAGTGAGGGTGAAAGGGGCCTAAAGACGATCATCGTGTCAGGTTTCCATAGATCATCATTTCCATCCTAGTCGCATTTGTCCTTCACGTTGAGCCCGACCTTTCACGCATGATTCATGAGCTTCTGTTCACCTAGTGGTCAACGAAGAACCGCCAGCACACCATCAACTTCTTGGTGACCATGCTCTCGAGTATCAAGTTCCACCCGCAAAGCAACAAGAACGCTGCAATGGTACCGTGTGGTGCAGAACCTCCTCCTGTGGGCCCATCCCACGACGCACACCCTTCTCTGCTATCGCCTCTCTTAGCCACTTTCTTTAGCAATGGAGTCCGGTCGTTCAACCACAAGAAGTTCATCTCCCTATTCACGAGGCCATTCCAAAATTACGTGAACTCGTATCGGTTGAGAGACATCTCGACTTTCCAGAGACGTGGTCAAGAGGGATTGAGTCTCATGTACCGAAGGAGCAAAGTCAAAGATGGGATTTTCAAATATTTTAGAAGATTTTCAAATGAGAAGGATTTTCTAAGACTTTCAATCTTATCTTAGGCTGAGGATTTTCAAAGATTTTCAAATATTGTTTTCAAAGATTCTAAATCACATCTTAGGTTGCACCAAACATATGATAGGATATTTTTACAATCTGGGAATATGTGGACGATATCAAATCCTCTTTTATCCCATCATATTCCAATCTAAATCTGGACGACCAAATGTAGCATTAGTGTTTCCCAAGCCACAATTATATCCAATAAATCTCATAGTGTTTAGCTCAACAATTCATCACAAAATAATCTCTTAATCTTACAGAGGAATTAACACAAATCTTAAACTCATAAGATTTAAATTGCGACTTCGAACACTTGTTCCCTCGGATGAAATTCCCAAGAAGTAGCTCCAATTGGATGCAACACAAAACAACGAAAATCCTTCTACGTTCAGCAACTGCAGCACACCAAGCACTCACATAAGGCGCTTCTCTGCACTAATAATCTCACAATCAGAAAAGTGAATATTTCCAAAGGAAACACCGAAACAGTGGCCGATTCATGGATTAGGAAATCCTGTATTCGGTCAATAAAGTACAAGTTTGGACTTTCTTCTTTTGACTTTCTTTGGCCGATTGTAGTAATATTCGGACTACCAGTATATTTTGTGTGCCCCTCCTCTTAATTTTATTTCCCAATCAAGAAGAGTTTATGTATTGCTCAGTTTTGAATGTCCGTAAAATATCCAATTCGGAATATTCAGACCTCCACAAAGAACAATTAATCTCAGGACAGATTTCGTTTGTCAGGCTCAAACTCGAAACATATTTAACAATCTCCGTCTTGACTTGACGTTTTAGCCAAGTCACAAATCACTTCTCTAAAGAATAGAAAATTCATTGCTACTCTCCCATAGCCTTAATAGGCTCAACCGCCACAGACATCTTCCAAATCCAAGCCTCGCCTGGACTTCGCTATAACCGAAAACCTCATCAGAATACCGATTGCACCTACACCTTTAACTGCTCCACAAAAATTCGTAGACATAACCTCCTCTACCATAGATAAAGCAAAACCATCATTGAATCCATATATATTAGGAGATCGAACACGTACCTTGTCATTATCAACAGTTATAGCAACCGTTGACTCTACATACTCCACCACATTACAAGCACCATTTGTGTCAATTAATCTACTAGCACCCTCTACCTCAAGACTTTCCGGTTGCAACTCCACCTCAAGCTAAACACCATTCAGATCCGTATGAATATTGATATAATCCCTCCTAGCCAGAAGTACTAAAAACTCGTCAAATGTAACATCTCTACTAATAACAAGCAAATTTAATTTTGGGCACCACAAACAATAACCCCGCTCACCTTGTGCATAACCTAGGAATATGCACTTTATTGCCCTTCCATCAAGTTTACCATCACTAAGTCGAATATAACATGGGCAATCAAATATTCTAATAACTGAATAACCAATAACGTTACCTGACCACACTTCTTCAGGAGTCCGACATCCAATCACAATCGATGGAGATCTATTCATCAGATAGCTCAATATAATAAGCGCATGCACTAGGAATCTCTTAACCATACCAGCACTAGAAAGCATTTTATGGGTCGTTCCTAGTTATATTTTGTTCATCAACTCTACAACCCTGTTGTGGTTCACTGGTACTAGTGCATTGTCTCATTATACCTTTCTTCATGCATAATTCATTTAATAGCTCTGAGTAAAACTCCATGCTATTGTTAGTCCGCACATACTTGATCCTTTTACCAGTCTCCTTTTATCTTGACAGCAGCATTAAATTTGTGCCTTCGCACACACATTCAAGTCTTCCTCGAGTAGTCACCCACCACTGTTAGCATAAATCCGGCACTCTTCCTCGAAAGAAACCGCGACAGCCTACCAACATTCAAGTGAATCAACTATGCAATTTCCGTGGTTTCTTTGACTGTCGTACCGAACTACACTTTCCGCTATTAATCTAAGTCACAGCACCTACATACATTCGATTTGTTAGCAACATAACCATGTAACAAATTCCTTTCACTCATAACCTTCAAGCTTTTTTCACTAATATGCCCCAAACACATATGCCACAATTCATACTCTCGAACAAATACATTCGACCTCTTCGCAGTGAAATTCGTCACTGTCTCACCTTAAAGCTCATACAAGCCACTATGCTTGATTCCTCTTATTATCACCAAGGCATCTCGAACAAC